AGCTGACTCAGAGGGGCTTGGCCTCAGCTCGTATGCTGTGCCCCTTACCTGAGTATGTGCCCTTCATTTCAGAGGAAGTCCAATGATGGTCTGATGCAGTCCAGAGGACTTCTGGAGGCTGGCTACTCTGCTGGAGAGCACTAGAGGACTTCCGGAGGAGTGTGGGAAACATCCAGAGGAATGCAGGAAGTGCTCAGGAGAGTTCCCACTGCAAGGTAATACTTCTACAGGAAACAGGATGGAAGGATAGGAGGTCTGAAGGTCTGGAGGACAGGAGGGCAGGATGATGGAGGACAGAAGGACAGGAGGATAGGATGTCCAAGGGTTAGGAGGACAGAACGTCTGAAGGACAGGATGCCCAGAGGTATGAGGGACAGGAGGGCTGGAGGTCCGGAAGGAATAGGGGCTACATCGGATGAAGTCCGATGTAGAAGCAAACAGAGGTAGACTACCCTAAGGTAGAGTCAGAGAGAACAGGGATTGGACCTAAGTCCAGAAAGAGGGTAAGTGCCGGAAAGGCAAAGCTCCGGCCTAGGGAATCAATCCCTAGGCCTGATGAGTAGGACAGACTTAGGTGGACCAAAGTCCAAGAGAGGATTGGGCAAGTCTAAGCTGATATTCCAACTGAGGAACTACAGGAGTATCTACAGGGGTTATACACTGGACAACATCTGAGGGGATCAGTAAGCAAAGGGGCAAGGCTATGTACAAGCATGTGGAAACACATTAGTAAGTAAGATGGAACATAACTAAATGAACTTGGAGATGAAGACTTGTACAAGGATCAATAAGCAAGATGGAAGAAGAAATAACCAAAAGCCAGAAAGGCAGAGATGCCTAAATGGGGATAGGCACAGGATATTGGACAGAGGGTGGAAATAGGTCCAGTGTTAATATCCGGAGGTCCAGAGATCTGGGGATCTGGAAGACAGATGGATCAGGACCGGAATCGAGAAGGTGGATATAGTCCGGAATCCGAGACAAGGTGAAGTCCAGATGTCTTGCTGGATGGAGTGTGCATAGGGTGGATGGGACAGGGGGTATGGATCAGGCAGTGGAAAGGGATCTGGGAATGAGTTGGATATGAAGTGGGGTCCAGACATAGGCTCGGAAGGCGTGGGAATATTGGAACATGGGTCCAGATTGTGGGATATGACACATAGCTTATATTACTACATTGAAGATATTTAGCATTACTTAACTGAAATGATATGCTGAGAACTCCATTTACTTGTATGTAGATGATTTTATATAGGACTTGATTGTGCTTATAAAGCTGAGGGGAGGTTGGATTTTTCCAGTGTACCAAATAGATATTCATAGTTTATTTTATCATAAATTTTTCAGGAAACATGATACATTATACTATTCACAAAGCCATGCAATGGTACACTAATATGAGAGCAAATAAAAATTAATTTAAATATCTCAACAGTACATGTACTATTTTTTTATTACATCTATTCACTAAATTTTGGTGGTCAGGTTTACATTTGTGTTGAGCATCATGCTTATGCAGCTTACAATAGATGTTTTTAGTCTCTCTATGAGCTCTTGTTAAGGTTGTGCTCAAGGGTCATGGATCTGAAGGGCTTAGCCTCAGCTTGTGCACTGTATCCCTTACCCAAGTACTTGCCCTTATTTCTAAGCAGTAGAAATTAAGTCCAGGACTTAGTATTAGTAACTACCAGATTCAGAGGTCTAGAAGGTAGGATATTGGACATCCAGATGCAAGGCTAATCCAGATGAAGTCTGAACTAGAAACTAGCATACATGAACTATCCAAAGATAGAGGTGGAAATGTAGACTTTATTGTAAAGGTTGCATGCTCAAAGGGGGTTGATGAGAAGGGTTTGGCCTCAGCTTGTATGCTATGTCCTTTCCCAAGTATGTGCCCTTAATTTCTGAGTGCTAGGAGAGTTGTCCAGAGTTTCTACATTTGACAGGGATGGACATTGGATGTCCAGATCTGAAATGTGAGATAAATCCAGTAGACATCTGGATACTGACTGGATGAGTGGATAAGGCTAATCTGGATGAAGTCTAAACTAGAAACTGACAGAGGATAGACTACCCTAAGGTAGAGCTGGAGATATAGTCTGAGATGCAATCCTAAGACTCAGATATGACAAGAGACTGTCATATCTGCATATCCAGATCTCAGATCCAATCCTTATCCCATCCCAGATCCGATCCACATCTGATTTCCAATCCTATCCACATCTTATCTCCCTCCAACATCTCGTCATCCAATCTGTTCACTTGTCCGGTCTGGTCCACAATTTATCTGAATCCACAACCAGCACTTGTCTCCTTTCAGTAATCCCCTAACTCCAGTATTTTGGTTATCTGTATATCCGTCCTGCTCCCTGATCTGTTACCTATGCTTCATTTCTGTTTCATGATTTGTGATCCATTTCTACTTACCAATAGATTATCCATATGCTTTGTACATAGCCTCAGACTGCTGATTGATCATTCCATTAGATACCTATAGTATATAACCTCCTGTAACTCTCTGTAACACCACTACTCTCATCACCCTCCAAGACTTAGGATTGATTCCTATAGTCTATCCGCATCTGCCTCTGTCTATGACAGCCATTACCGCTAGTTTTCTAGTCTGGACTCGTCTGTATTAGTCTTACAATACATATCCCTCATCCAGAAGTCATCCGGATCCACTACACTACCTGTCCAACCCTCTGGACATGTTAGTCTTGCCTTCCTGAAATAAGGGGCAATACTTGAGTAAGGGGCACAGCGCACGAGCTGAGGCTAAAGCCCTTAGGATCCATTAACCCTTGAGTATGACCTTAACAGAGACTTAGCTTAAGGTTTGGGTTCTGAAAGTGAGATATAGACAGATCAAATTATCAGAAATCCAGAGAAGTGAATTTGGAGTTAGGAGTCCAGAATGGCATATGACACTTATAGGAATCAATCCTAAGTCTTAGAGGTTGACAAGAGTCAAGATAACTCAAATCCGGTGATATGCACAAAACTTGTTTTGTATATGATCATGGCAAATTTATGAAATATGCTACTTCTTACTTCAGTCTATGATCATCTCCTGAATTTTCTATACTTACTTCAATTTAGGGGAATCAAAGGGGGATTAGTGCATACACCCCTAAGTTTCTTTACCCCTATTTACTGAGCAAACAAACAAGTGACAATTAGGAGAAATATTAGCTTATTTACTCCATTCTTTTACAAGATCCTTCACACTTTATTCAGAAGTATTTGAGGCCACACACTTGAGCCATATTTGATTACATAAGCAGTATTCATTCTAGTTCTCTTTTAGACACAGGAAAAGTTCTGACCTGCATCATACTTATAGTGAGTGCCTGAGCAGCAGAGAGTTGGTTTCAAGGCCACATATTGGGACAATTCCACTAGTGAATTTGATCTCTATTGCTGGAGATAAGTAAGAATATCCAAAGGGATATATTATAGCTCTAGTTATTGCATACAGCTGCAACATATTATTCTGAAGGTCATAGGACCCCACCTCATATCCAACTCATTTCCAGTTCTCCCTCCACTGTCTGCTCTACACCTCAGCAGGATCAGCCTAGATGATGAATTGAATTGTAATGAACAAACCATCAAGGTGCAAAGTATGTCTCCTCTTGAGCACACTGCAGTCACTCGTGCCACTTGGACAGATACACCTATCCTACGTCGTCGAGGTGCAGCAGCATCAGAGTTGCTTTCTTGCATCAGTGGCAGCAGCTGCATGATGCAAACGCAGTCACAGAGAAATTGCAGACCCAACTGTTTGACTTGCAAATGAGACTATTTGATGTTGAATGTGAGCATGACCTTACCCAGCTTCATCTGGAGATGATGCAGATGCACTAGCCTCCTCCTAACAAAGCCACTCCCAAAACTCATCACCAGCGCAAACCCAAACCCAAACAGGTGAATTACACCTATTACCCTGATGGCAGCCAATGTGTCATCTGGCACAGCGATCCAGAGATCCCAGCATCTGATGCTTCAGACCACCCTCCAGATTCTCCTCAATACACACAATTCCATGGTCATATGTTCTAAGAGACAAGAGACTCAGGTGTGCACAGACCTCAAAGGTGAGGCCATGGATGATGCAGATGACCTGCTAGAGAGCAAGTCAGCTTATTCTCAAACACCAGAGGTGTGATCACTGAAGGTACTTGCGCAGCTTAGGTTGATAAGGTGTCATCTCTGACTTTCCTCACTCAAGGCACCCCGCGCAGCTTAATCAAGGTTCCATTTCTCCTTCCTCCACTCAAGGCACTCATGCAGCTTAGATGAGGGTGTTGTTTCTGACTTCCCTTGCTCAAGGCACTTGCGCAGCTTAATCAAGGTCTCATTTCTTGCTTCCTCCACTCAAGGTACTTGCACAGTTTGTATGAATAGATATATAGAAGTTACAAACTATTTACTCATACTCTAGCATGACATGGAATCATGCGACTTGATCTTTCTGCCTTTGCTCTGAAAACAACATGTTCTTGAAATCACTCCAGACTGCAATATCATACTCCTTCTTGTATAGAGCATGTAAATTGTTCTTCTGCCTCTCAATATGCATCTGTGCGGTGATATCATCCTTGCAGTCACTGTGGAGTCCATAGTATGAGATGTGGGGGTCAAGAACTTCAGAATACACAGATAATTAGCTAGCTGAACCAATTTGCAATGAGAGATGACTTACTAGAAGCCCAGACATAGAAAGGTGACTTGTCAACCTTGAAGTGATAATTACTGAGCTTGTGATGAGCACTTGTCAGTGCAGACTGCAACTTCCATGGTGCTGAATCTGGAAGCACTGCCAAGTCATCTTGAAGTGACTCCTGAAGTCCATGAAAGATTGCATGTACAGAAGATAACATAGGGCACTTTGTTGTAGACATTTGAGTAGTAGTGGAGCAAAAGGCCTTTGACCATTGCATGACTAGCTCAATCCCTGCCAAATCAGCATCAGAGAGTTCATATGGCCTGAGGTCTCAAGTCTTTGCAATGAAGTCATCAATAGCTTGATGAAAATCAAGTGCCTGCCAGAGCATCTGATGTGTGGATGACCAACAGGTCTTGACATCCAAGATAAGCATGAAAGTGACTTGACTCATCGCATTCTCAGCCTTCTTAAGAGAAATCGTGACTGCTGCAAGCCATGACTTTCCATCATTGTGGGCTTGAACAGACCAGTTAGAATCTAGCACAAAAAGATATTACAATGACATACCCAAACTCCAGTCATTCATGATATAATGCATGATGATAGCCAGAAAAGTGAATTGATTACTTGAAGTCCATGCATCAAGAGAAAGGCTGACTTTGGACTCAAGATTCTGTCATATTGATTGGTGCTTGAGTCAACTCGACTCGACATCGACTTACTTCAATCATGTCCTTGACACCTTAATAGTATCTTCTCCCATCTTCATAATGCAGCACTTGATGGCCAGTCTTCCAGGGATATGAAGTGGAGAGCCTCTGTGGTGTAGTCTAGGAGTGCCTTGAGCTCTGGTTGTTCCACCTCCTCAAATGGCTGGTCACATGCCATGAGTCATTATGTGAGCAGCTCTTTGAACTTGGCTTGATTCCATTCACCGAAAGCCTTGGTGACCTGCTTGTTGAATGTGTGAACAATGTTTACATACCCAGAACACTTAACAACAATAGGAAGTACTATTTCAACTCTCAATTGCTAAACAAACAAATGTTTGGTTTGGCAGCTTCCAAACA